GTATACCGAGTCTTTTGTAAAATAACAATTTTGTTAGAATTTCACGAAAGAGTAATTACAATTAATTAATTAGGTGGATTTTCCATTTTAATCTAATAATTTATATTCAATTTGTACCGAACTGGTAAATAAAGACAGATTTTTCCTTGACAATATTAGAAAATAAAAATCTAATGAGATGACGGAAATTTTGAAATAGCGATAGAAATTGATATAAATTATTAGCTTGAAATTAAGCAGCTTTAATGATCCAATTGAAGGTTGAAACATCACAAACTACATTTAAATTAAAAAATTTTATGATAAAACTAAATACAAGTCCAATTCTCTCTCTCTCTCTCGATTCTCTTTGAACGAACAGTTGCGTCATCGGTCTCGAATACATTGATCATTCGAGGCTCCGACCTCGTTCGAGCATCGGAATCACGTTCGCAGGAGAATAATCGTTGGTCGGGAAGGAACGGACGCGGCCATTAACGAAACAGCGCGAAAGCGAGAGAGAAATCGAGAGAAAACGGCGAACAAGGTAGGAAGCGAGAGAACGAGAATAATTCGATTTTTCGATTCGCGGTGAATACCGCGATGATTGCCATCGCCATGGCCGAAAATGGAATTTAATCGAGCGACGAGCCACCGAAAGATTTCTACCGATTCGCCCCGAATTGATATTCCCGCTGCTCGTTCCGGAGACACGGCACGATAATGGCACGTATTGTTTTACTAATTCTATCCGCGGGACAGACGTCTTATAAACTGGCCGCGGGATCTTACGATTTTACACTGTGTGAATGCCGATTTCGATTTTGACACACACACCAGCGAAGTTATCACCGTTAATCTTCTACGATAGATTTCGATTTGTTTGCCCGTTATTTAAGTTAAAATCTGAAATCTGCTTATTACTATTATTATTTTAGATTGCAGTAACGATGGAAAGAATATATACGGAAAGATTGCAAAGAAATACAAAAATATAAAGAAATAATGGAAATCGTGCAACATTATGAAGCTTTGAAACCCTACAGACTTTCGTTTTAAATAATTACAGGGAATCTTGCAAAAACATCATTCCCACAAGAATTCGCTATTGTTGTATGATATCCTTCGTTCTCCTCTTTTGAGACAAACAGCTCATTCTCCCACCTCATTTTTCATTCGACAATGAATGATTGATCTATGAAATTTATTTTGCATCACATATCTACATCACAGAAATGCAAACTAGTAGTCGGAATACACAGTCAGTGTAATTACGTAATACATCTTGAACAGTTCAGATGTACTTACGTATAGAAACTAATTGTCCACATACAGTCACTTACAAAAATATTATTACAATAATATATAATATTTGTAGAAACTTTTATTTACTTAGGTATATTTTATGTATTATGCATTATATGAAACACTTTGTTTTATGAGTTTATACCAATTTCTATAAGTGTATTCTATCGGTTTTTAATTTTAATACAATATAATTTTTGATGTAATATAATATACATATATATATATATAT